TCTTAAATTGTAACGTGGCCGCATGTTAAAACAATTAATGGCATCATAAAACAAGGAATAAGCCGCAAAGTTGTTCCACAAAAATGTGTAAATATTTGTGGCTGGTTCCTATTATGCCATTAATTGAATGTGCGGCCAGGTGCACCCCCATTGCTGGGAGTACCATGTGACCCCAAGGCTAGGAGCCTACAGCTAATAGGGCTTCCAGCTGCGAGGGCACACTATATGCTCCCATGACTAAAAGCACTGCTCCCAACCATAAGACCTTGCTACTTGCTATGATCCTGGGCTCCTCCTACACCAGCAGTAAGGCATACTGGTATCTGTTGCATGTGTGGAATGGCAGGAAGGGAAATTGTGTAGATTGCAAATCGGATCCCATCATGCCTTTACCTGCACATCTGGCAGGGGCATTAGAAATCTGGCTAAAGAGCTCCTCAGGGAGCAGACACTTTTAGAAGTCAACAGGCTAAACTTAAAACCCATGTAAGAAAGCCATTTTTAAATATATTATTTAAATTCTCAGCCCATTAACAGAGCATGAATAATCCTGCATGGTTTAACACATTTACTGTAATAATATTCTCCCCAGCCCTTCTCCAAATATTTGGAGAGTAGAGAACTATAAACCAGAAATCTAACACGAGTCTCTTGTCAAGATTGCAGTGCTAACACGATGTGTGAAACCAAGCAGGGGTGGAACCAGGAGGGTGTGGTTTCACCCCTGTTGGTTGTGCCACGCATGTGTAGTGAGCACTTTGAGCAAATTAGCTCATCACTGGTGGGGGCAGCAGGTGTAGGGGAAGGTTGCTCCTCGCCAGGGCGGCATCAGCTGTCCACAGAGGCATCCCTTTCTGGTGCCACCATGGGCATACCATCTGTTGCTGCTGCTCCTGTTGCCCTCACTGAAGCTGGAACTGCTACTGCTGTGGGTTCAGGAGCCGTTGGTGGTGTGGCGGCGCCCCCAGCCAGGGGGGCCCCAGCTGCTGCTGCTGCTGCTTCTACAGGGGCACCAGCTCTTGCCACTCCTGCTACAGAGCCAGCAACATCAGTCCTACTGCTGTGATAGTGGCAGAAGGATCTCAGCAGCTCATTGAGGCTGTCAAAGAGCCCGCTGTTCTTCATCCCTCCAGCAGGAGACTCCTTGTGCTACATGTAACTGGACAGATGTTACATGTAATGCTGGTGCCCTTTCTTGTAGCACCACAGTGTGCATTTCTGTAATGTGTCCACAACCCAAAGTAGCTCGTGTAATGTATAGATTTAAAAGAATGCACGTAGGAGAGATCATTTCATAATAAAATAATCCAAAAAGAAGTCGCAAAAATTTTAAGCCACAATTAGAATATGTGGAAGATGAATGAGGGAGTTGAAAGTTTATGAAATCTTGCTGGTCCTTTTACATAGCTATGTAGATTTGAAAAGCAAATTCCCCAAGTAAATAGGCTGTCTGCCCAGACAAAATTAGTTTGTTATACTAGGCATAAAGCAGTTCTACGAATTTGTAGAGGGTGCCTAAAGTCTGAAAAGGTGGTGTTCTTCTGTAAGGTATTTTAATTTATATCAATTCCATTTTTTTCTCACAGGGTATTTCATGTTCAATAAAGGAAATTTTCAGAATACTTGCTGTTAAGTACTTAGTAAAGTAGGATTTTCCATACCAAATCAGATCTTTGGTTTACCAAATTAATATTAGGTATCTTTTTATGCCATCTGAAAAAGATCTCCCTTAAATACAGCCTTGAAGGGAAGAGTTGACTTTCTAACTTGCTTAAAGATTAGCTGAAGCAGGAAATCTGACCGAGGAGTGGATAAACTAATGGATGTTTACATTAATTTATACAACTCCTTGCTATTATCCAGTCTCAAATATCTGTTTTCCCAAACAACTGTAGCAAGGGTTAGTGTTTTTGTACCCCAGAAACAGTGTACACTACTAAGCAAATTCATGTACCAAATGATGGTGTGAAGTATTTTTCATATTAATAAAAAGAATGTTTTGTAGCAAACAGACATTTGAGTTAAGTATTTTAATGTCAATGGAAGTAGTTTTTATTTTTGTTCTGTATCAATCATTAAACAAATTACATCAAAGAGATAACAGATAGCTCTTTACCTAATGTGTCAAAATGTGACACATTAATGGCATTCCTTCTCATCAAACTTGAAAGGTAAGTAAAGACTGAATAACATTAGAGAGAATGAATTTAGCGTGTCTAGAAAAGTAGAGTTTTTTTTTATAGCAACGGCCACTTCAAAAACAACAGATGGTGTTGTTACCTTTGTCCTGGCACTGTTTTTCTAACATCAAAATTCAGTGCCAGCTTGGCATAAAGAAACAAAAGTGTGTCATAAACATCATAACAGAACTTACTTGGTTCACTCCAGGGATCAATGAGTGAAATGTAATGGCCTGTGAAATACAGGAGGTCAGACTGGATGATCTAATAGTCTCTTCTGGTTTTACATTCTGTGTGTATATGTGCATGCATGCAGTTAGTCTAGAGAAGAGGAGACTGAGAGGGGATTTAATAGCAGCCTTCAACTACCTGAAGCAGGGTTTGAAAGAGGATG